TACCTGACAAGCCGCGGACGGGCTCTCTCTCTGGTCGGTCCCAAAGTCTCCTTCTTCGATCTGACGCTGCCGGACATTGTCACGGCTGAATACTGGTCATGCAGGAGCATGCGGGGAATTCTGTACAGTGCGGCCTCGCCGCTTGAGACCGTGGCGCTTCTGAGCACGGAGACGGGCCGAATGCAACCGCTTCCCGCCTGGACTCAGCGAGGGGTGGTGGTGGGGCTGGAGGGGGGCTCGGAGGAGGTCGAGCGTATTACGGCGAGGCTCGAGGCGCACCAGGTCCCCTTAGTCGCTGTTTGGCTGCAAGACTGGGTGGGCACCAGGCAGGACTGGGACGGGACGCGGCTGATCTGGAATTGGGAGGTGAACAGGGGCTACTACCCTCGCTGGGACTCCTTCCGGCAGCGGCTGGAGGCCTCGGGGGGAGTCAAAGTCTTGACCTACATCAACCCCTTCCTGGTGGACGTGGCAGCCGCTAACAAGTCCTTTCCCCACACCCGGAACTTGTTCGCCGAGGCGGTGGAGCATGGGCATCTGATCAAAGACGCGGCGGGGCAGCCCTTGCTGGCGAAGAGCGGCAGCATCGAATTCGGCACCATCGACGCCAGCAGCCCAGAGACGCGGGCCTGGTTCAAGACTGTGATCAAGACGGCTATGATAGAGGGCGCAGGGGCGGGGGGTTGGATGGCGGATTTCGGAGAGTACGTCCCCTTCAATGCCCGGTTACACGGTGGGAGAGGGAACGCGATGCACAACGCCTTCCCCGACTACTGGGCCTCCTTGCAGCGCGAGGCGATCGCGGAGGCGGGCGGCGAGGCTGCAGAGGAAGTGGTGGCCTTTGTGCGGTCCGGCTATATGAAGACGCCGGGGTTCGCGCAGCTGTACTGGGTGGGGGACCAGCTGGTCACGTGGGACGGGCACGACGGCATCAAGACGGTGCTGCCGGCCATGCTGTCGGGGGGGCTGGTCGGCCACAGCCTGACTCACTCAGACGTGGGCGGGTACACAATGATCGATCATCCTGTGCTCAAGTTCTTCCGCCCCCGCGAACTCTTGTTCCGGTGGGTGGAGCTGGGCGCCTTCGCCGGGGTCCTCTTCCGCACTCACCTGGGAAGCTTCATGCATACCCCCAGCGCGCAGGTCTGGGACGACGCAGAGACGATGGCTCACTTTGCTCGCTTTGGTCGAATCTTCGCCCATCTAGCGCCTTACCGCAGCGTCCTGATGGAGGAGGCGGCCAGCAAGGGCTACCCAGTGGTCAGGCCTCTCTTCCTCCACTACCCCGGGGACGCCAGCGCCTACCGGATCAGCCAGCAGTTCCTCCTGGGGCCCGACCTTCTGGTCGCTCCCGTCCTAAACCCTGGGCAGGAGACGTTGCGCCTGTACCTGCCGGGGGGGATCGGTGGCGGCACGTGTGGACGGGGCACATTTACGAAGGAGGATGGCTCACGGTCTCTGCCCCCATGGGCGAGATCCCGGTCTTCAGCCGCCAAGGCACGCCTTTTGCGGAGCTCTTCGACAGCCTTGTAGAGGCGTGAACCGGGCATTGTGACAAAGCTTATGGCACTCGGAACTGTCGGCTTCACTCAGAAAGAGGGAGGTTGTGAGATAATGTGGGAAAATACGAGCATCGGAGAAGAAAGTCGTGTTATATGCTTTCCGTCTCGATGCGATCTCTGTTTGTCCGTAGTAAGGCACGAGATAAAACCTGTAAAATCTGTATGACAGTGTGCAAGCAGAGTGTCTTACGTATGTTATTGTTTTTCCTCAGACATCTCTAACACACGGAGGACCCCCTTCTCGGTCGCGTCATAACGACAACAATATCCTGAGACAGCTCCCTCTCCCCCCACTGTGTCCCCATTCCGGGATTCCTTGTCCTCTTCTAACTTCCATATCGCCATTGATTCTCCGCCTTTGTGATTTTGGTCCCCACTGATGCGTAAGACCATGCCCAACTGCCGGATCAGAGGAAGCAAAAGGCCCCGGCTTGCCTGCTCCATGGTCACGACCAGCGAGCAATGATGTCCAGTCCGCTGCCTGATGTGCTCGGCTGCATCGCGTATCACACTCAGGACCTGACAATAGGCGCTCAGCGAGTCGTCGTCTCGATTCGTGGTGCTTATGTAGCGGTCCAGATCGTCCACCACAATCACGGAGGGCAATAAAGCGTCTGGCTGGTTATGAAGGCTTCCGAAGTACCAGCAGAGACCCTGGAAGCTCGTGAAGCGCTTCAGGAAGACATTATCCAGCACAGAAAAATCCCATCCCTTCGCTCGACCTACACAGCTGGGCCCTGTCTGTTCGCTTTGGTGGTGTGGCTCAACAGCCGGGCTTGACGAAGGCCTAGAAGAAGCGACTACGAGTCGCGTTGTTTTGACAACGTGGCGTGAATCGCGATGCCGGTGAATGAAAATCGCCTGTCGATTTGGATCCTGCTGCGCCATCGTATAGCATAGCTGGAAGGCTAGAGAGCTCTTTCCGCATTCCTGAGGTCCCAAGAGGCAAGCGCCCTCTGTACCTCGAGCTCTCAGGAACCGGAGTACGACTGCGACATGCTGGTCTTGATGGGGCTCGATAGAAGCGCTAATCGGCAAACCGCGCTCATCCACCAATGTCGTACCCATATCACGCGACCACAATGGGGATAGGATCACCTAGATCTACACACAGCTGTGAGAGATGCATTAAGAAAGTCGGTTCAGGTACGCGCAATTTGAGGAAGGATGAAGTTAGCGAGCCCCGCTTCAGTGGGCGAGGCACAGAGATGGCTACCGTGCGACGGCCTCCCCCCGCTTTCAAGCCCCCCACGCAAGGAAGGTGAGCTGCCAGTGCGCAACTTCATCGACGTTGCGCAGAACATGTGAGTTTTCACGCCTCTTATTGGCGTTCAATCGCCCAAGCGTCCATCTCGTACCTAGACATCAAGAACAACCTCCTCACCTATCTCAGGCCTCCTCCCCTATTGCGGCAAAAAGCACAGGGCCGCAAATGGATGCGTTGCTGGAAGAGATGTACATGGCACAGCGAGGAGGATCTACTAGTTATGCACACAAAGATATCAAGGCGCCAGAGACAGAAGAAGGCCCTGAAGAAGACGCGGGCGACAATCCTACTTGTGCTGCATCGTCCTCGACTCCCTCTCTATGGCGACCCGAAGTAAAGCCCCCGATGGACGCCTTGCACCACGCTAAAACCTATAATAGCGCCCAAAACATGATGCATCAGCCCAGTCTCAGCTTAGAGATACTCCGACACGACGCCATCGGTACTTTGACGTGTTTTTTCCTCAACAAGGTGAACAGGGACCTGGGCATGGATTTGCGCGTGCCCCTCTTTGAACGCTGGCTCTTCTCCCAGCGTCCCACTGATGGCACCGGGGATCCTATATTGCCAGACCCGCGATTAAACAACGAACATGAGCGAGCTGGCCGACACTTGCTCATGCGAGAGCTGATCGAGGGAGGGGCTAGCAACGATACGGCGAAGCGAGTGATAGAGCAGTTGAATAAAACCGCGGTCAAGCTCTTATGTCGGATACAAAGGGCTTCCGCGTCCCTCAATCCCCCTTCCGTATCTCTAGAGGCACGATGGCAGTCCTTGTCTAAAATATATGTGCATTTCGACGCGGGACGTGGGCTCTACTCACTCCGACACAAGTCGAAAACTGTGACAGTCAACCGAAGGCATTACGAGAAGCTTCGAGCACTCCACGCCCGCTTTGGGGGAATGTCAATCAATAGGCCTGGGATCGATCGCTCTCAAGGCAACCTTAAGCACGGAAAACGAGAACGCCCGGGAAAGAGCGCTGAAGAAGAGAGGTTCTTCCATCTGCGGGTCTTCCTCCTCCTCTTGCGCTACAGCAGTCTGGCGGGGGGCACAGATCGCGGAGGGGGCTTTCAAGGCGCCATTAACGAGGAAGCCTTCGACGTCCTACGCCGTCACCTGGATTGTCGGATGGAATGCTTCGCCTCTCCCCTCAACTGCATGTACGCCCGTTATTGCTCCGCCTTCCAGGACACGGATGCCTGCTTCGGGAGCTTGGGGACATTTTTCAATTTCCGCCCCCGGCAAGGAACCTACGAGGCCAACCCGCCTTTCTCGCCCTGTGTCATCGCCCGCATGGTCGACCACATGGAGGACTTGCTCGAGGCAACCGCCCTGCCCCTCGGCTTCGTCGTGGTCATTCCCGCATGGCAGGACGGAAAGGGGGAGCGGACAAGGGAGGACGAGGAGAAGGGGGTTACTAGAGAAGCAGAAGAAGAGCGCCCTGAATCGACGCGTGTGACCGCATCAAAGGGTGCCAGCATGTCTAGGGAGCCGAACAAGAGGGGAGCCAAGGCCATCTACAAGGCCTCGGCGGCGTCGTGGAGCCGCCTCCGCGAGAGCTCGTTCTGCGCCCTTCACGTCCTGCTCCGGGCGCAAGATCACGGGTACATCGAGGGCGGGCAGCACAAGACGCCCACCCGATTCAAGACGTCCTTCTTTGACACCTCGGTCTTCTTCTTGCAGAACGCGGCGGCAAAGAGGAAGTGGCCGGCCTCGGAGCGCATGGCGGAAGAGCTGAAGCAGGCGTGCGCGTCCAAGCATGAGGCAGAGACGGCCGCTCGGCGGAGAGATCAAGGCCTAGATCAAAGGACGGAGCGTGGAGCAAGGCTAAGGGAAGGGTGCGAAGAAGATGGCGAGGTACCAGAGGCGTCGTCGGAGAGCAACGCTTTTGAGGGAGAGGGAGGCAGGGGTCCAGTGGAGTGCGCGACGCAGCAGGGATCACGCCCGCCTTCTTGGAAGAGGGCGGGTGCTCCGAGTAGCATGTTGTATCAAAAGGATGCCTTGAGCTCGAGCAAAAAGAAAAGATCAGCGCGACATGAAAAGCGTGGCTCCAATAGCACAGCGGCAAGAAGTTGATCTGTGATGCACTACGAAGAGACTTGTCGCCCAAAGGAACACCCCAAAATATAATCTCCTCCCTGGAGCGTTGAGCTTCGAGTAAATGCACTCGGGCTTCAAATTTAATTGGTACGATTTTTCAAAATAAGCTTTGCCGCTTCATTGTTCACGATTTTTTATGTACATGCTTGCAGCTTCCTCGTCCCAGACCTCAGCGTACTTCGCCTTAATATCGAACAAATTAGACTCGTGGACCTGATTATGTCGATCACCAACCGCATCCTCAACAACGATTGGAATGAAGCCGTGTTGGCACGCATCTGTTGCTGTGGCGCGGACGCATCCGGACGTCGAGAGTCCCGCAATAAGCACGGTGTCGACTCCTTGAGCTCTGAGGGTTGGCGCCAGGGAGGTTCCGAAAAAGGCGCTAGCATATTGCTTCGTTACGATAACTTCATTCGGAAGGGGCATGACATCTGGATGAAAGTTTCCCATAGGTGATCCTTTCTCAAAAATTTTAAGAAGGGGTAGTTTGCGGAAGAAGATGCCACCATCTAATCCGCCTGGCAAGAATTCAACCCTTGTATGAACCACAGGGAGCCGCTGACGCCTCGCAAGAGCTAGCAAACGCTTCGTTGAAGCCAAAGCATCTTCTACACCAGCGTAAAGTGGGGAGTCCTTCTTCAGATAAGCCTGGACGAAGTCGATTATCAAAAGACATGGCCGTGCTCCGGGTTGGAGGGCACCGTCGAACACGCCTCTGATGTTGTCTGCCAAGCTCCCTTCCTTGTTCAAGCCTGAAGCAGCGGCCATAGTAGTCGAATTACCGACAAAAAAAGACGACAGTTCTGTCGGAGTGGGTGTTTTCAGTGCTTTTATTCGAAATTTGCGGCGCAATCCTGATCCGCGAAGGTTTATTCGCGGACTTCCGGGTGTCAGCTGCCAGCCCTCCCCCTGACAGAGGGCACGTGCAGGCGAGAGCGCGGAATATAAATGAAGCGAACGGTGGCCACGTTGTGCTCATTTATCTCCACCAGAAGTGAACATATCAATCACTTCAATCGCCTCATGCTTTATGACATGCCACGGTCGTGCGGGTGGACGTGTTGGAAGGGATGGTGGGTCATGAGTGATATCAAGCTCTTCTAGGAATTATGGCGCGAACGGTACACCTACATCCGAGTTGCGAGCTCCTGAACTTCTAGCGAGGTGAAGCAGACAAATGTGTGAGCCAGCACGTTTAACACGAAAATATGTCCAACCACTAGCACAGATCATCCTATCAGGACGTGATATGGTTTCAAAAAAGGCCAGCAACGTAGTCAAGGGCAAGAAAAAGCCAGCTGCAAAGGTGAGCAGGCAGATGAGGGTTTGGAGAGGTCAAATGGGTTGAGAACCAACGTGATACGAGGACTCAAAATGTGCGAGTCTTTTGACACATGCGGCTGGCCAAAATGTTGTCTGTTTTTGGGTTTTATTGATTTGATTTCTTGGAGGCCGAACAGTGTTTTTCAGGGCGAACGAGAAAGATGCTTTCAACACTTACGCTACTTTCTGAGTCATGTACACCTCATGCAGCTGGCGACATATTGCCACTTGCCTTCAAAATGTCCAAAGAAAAACAAGTCTATACTTGAGATCTTTGGAAGTAACATATAATTTCTTGTGCACCCTCATCTTCGTGAATCAGAAGGTTAAAAAAGCAGCGAAGACAGCTCCCGCAGCCAAGAAAGCTTCATTACCCACAAAGAAAGCACCTGCAGCTAAGAAACCTGTTGCGGCCACTTCGTCGGTTCCTATCAAAGAGGCGTCAGGATCACTGCCAAAGGAGGCGGGTACCAACGGAAAGGTTTCGTCCATAGTCGTGGAGGCTTGCAAGCAATGCCAGTGTAAGCGCCTTCGATCAACGACCTTCTCGACTTGACCGCACGTTTCGTGAGTGTGACCAAGAGCTCTTTCACTTTCCTGCCTCGCATGTGGCACCCCAATAACCCTGAGTAGGCTTCAAAAAAAGGGCTGAGATCCTGGAGCAGCACCTAAAGGTCTTAAAGCCTGAGTTGAAGTTTGTTTTGAATCCCGAGAGGCCAACCAAGGGTGTCTTCATTGTCCGCACGGACACGGGGGAAGTTCTGTGGTCTATGACAGGACTGACACGCCCCTTCCAGCCATTGAAGGTACGCTAGTGTGTGTCAAGCCTGTCTCTTGGCTAGGCAATTAGAGATCTCTGTAAGTTTAACCCGTCAGTTGCCTCGGCTATCTTTCATTTATGAGTCCTTTCTGGCGATAGCCGTATAATTGGCGTGCTCGCGGGACTGCCTGTGCGGAAGGGCCTGAGGGCTGTCTTTTGTCTGTATCCTCTCTCTCCCCTTGGAGCTGAAACACTGAATTCCGTTATCTCCAACCAGGCTGTGGACTTCTCTGAAGTTGCGAAAGAAATGGCCACTAAGCTCTAGAGCTCTGGCTCGTGTATTTGGGCATTGGAGCATATTAAGGGAAGGCGCAAGTGGCACTTCCCTCTAATTTTCAACCATCAGCTCCTTATGAGATCGTGAGATGCTGAATCCATCAAGTTCGTTTCTGTTACAGTGAGGAAGCTCTGATAGCTTGACATGCGAAGGAGGAGGTTTGTTGAGGGCTCGTCGGTGCTCGATCCTCTACCTCTAGGAGAAGTATCCCGGATCCTTTTGGCGCAACAGCAGGAAACAATAAATTATGTAGCCAGTAAGAGCTCAAAGCCAAAACTCGTGTGAATTTAAACAACCAACGTTATAAGGTGCCAAAAGTGAGACCGTACCTGTCGTTTTATTGATGTGTTGCTATTTAATCCTTTTAAAAAACTCACGCCTAGTTTTATACCTTCTAGTGACAAGCCATGTGCTTCTAGGCGCGGAACATAGAAAGTGGTTTTCCGGCAGTGACTTGAAGGTCCAGTACACGAGAGAGACTTGACGAGCCAACCGACGAATTATGGATCTTGGATCGCGCCACTTGAAGACTTGACAGTCATGTTCTCTTCCAATCTTATTTGTCTGAACCTGTGCGACTCCCCAGCTTCCCGTTTGCGTACGGCTTTGTGCGATTCTTTTCCAGTGTACGCTCCTTCCATTTTAGGATACGCGGACGTGCCGTCACGCGGCCGCCACGCCATCGACCGCCTGGTCCGAGCCCTGCGGCCCCGAGGCAAATGCAAAAAGGTGGAGACCTGGAAAGGAAAGGGACATAGTTTTAATAGGGAAAGTGGCTGACGTCTGAACAAATTCACTTTCCTGGCAGAGAAGGATAGCTTTCTTTTCGCAAAGGTTGTCCCATCCCAACTATCCACTGCTCACGCTGTACAGGCTGCCCACAGCTTCAACACCTCCGCTCAAAGATCATTATGCCCTTCGGACGCTTTTCAACGCCCCCACCGCCACCGCCGGCTCCAGCAACCACAGATCTAGCTTTTCTTACTGCGATGATTAGCACAGCTGTGGTCGGCCTACTTGTAATACAATGCATATTCATCAGCCGACGGAAGGCACGGGCCCTGCAGCCGTCCCCTGCTGTTGTTCGAAGGAGCATGAGTTTTTGCTCGGCGGCATGCGCGGACGGACCCATGCCAGATCATGCAAAGATGAGCCCGCAAGATCCCATAATAAATGCAGTGGTGCTTTTTGAAGGCGAAGCGCCCACGCGTGCGGCTGTGGAGACGGCTATTCTGCCCTTGTTCAAGTTTGAACGCTTTCGCTCTCGCAAGGTAAAGATCCACGACGAGTGGTACTGGGAGCTCTTGCCGTCCTTTGATACGAAGATGCATGTCATTGAAGAAAGCTTTCAAGGTGTCGACATGGACGATCTCTTTCGCCAGTTGGAGGTGTGGTCGAAGAAGCCCCTGCATGTCCCCACGGAGGCACCTCCCTTCGAATTTGCCTTGCTCCGGAACGAAAGCCGGCGAGGACCCTCCGCCGTCATTTGTCGCGTCAACCACGCCATTGGAGATGGCGTCTCCTTGGCCAACTTGATTCCCTACGTTTTCAAAGGCCTTGACGGCCAGTCCCTGCCCACGAAGGAGAAATTCTCCCGCCGAGAGACCGGGTTCATGCCCACACTCCGCAATCCCTTCACGCTCCTGGCCTCTTTCTTCAAAGTCCTTGGGACACCCTCGACCGCCTTTGACACGGACGTCGGCCTGACGATTCCCGACAAGAAGCAAATCACCTTTACGGGCCGCCGATCTATCGTCCGGATTCCCACAGTCAAACTCTCCTTCATCAAGAGCGTCAAAAACGCAGCGGGCGTGACCGTCAATGACGTTGTTTTTGCAGCCCTGGCGGGCGCCGTGCACCGGCTTCGTGTCGCTATGCAAGACCCCGTCATGACGGACCCCCTTTCTGGCTCCAAGGTGCGCACACGGGCCTTGATGCCTGTGGCTTTGCCCCGCAAAGTGGGGGACACGGTCAGGGGCCTCCGGAACAAGTGGAGCTTCGCCTCGGTGAACATGCCCATCGGAGTCAAGGGCAGTCTAGAGCGACTCCATGCTGCGCATGCCACCACCACCGCCTTGAAGAACAGCCCCATCGTCATGGTCCAGAACATGGTCGAGACCCTGGTGGGGGCGCGACTGCCCTGGTCAGTGGCGAAGCAGACTGCTTACGACACCTTCGTGCGGCACACATTTGTATTCAGCAACCTCCCTGGCCCTGATGTGCCCATCACATTCGCAGGCAAGGAGGTGTCGGGCTTGTACATGGTGTTCGCCAATCTGCTTCCTCAGGTGAGTTCTTCCAAGGGCTTTCAAGTCGCAAGGTGGCCCCCTTTAAGGGCGCCTTATTTCCCTCGCCCTGCGCGGATCCTTCGAAGGGAAGTTGTGTGACAAAAGCGGTGTCGTGTTGAGGCTCACAACATCTCTCCTCACGCGCAGGTCGGTGCCCTGTCGCTGAACGGGCGGATCTTCACTTGCCTGGTGCTGGATGAAGAGGTCACGCCGGGGGCGCGGGATTTGGGCAAATATTTCATCGATGAGTTGATGGACTTGGCGGATCGGACGGGTTTGAATGTTAAGAAGGAGGACATTTTGGGATGATTCGAGAAGGAAGGAAAAGGGAGGAGGAGCGAGGCGGGAGGGCGAACGGAACTAGTTGCACAGCAGTGCTGGCTTAATTATCTTGTGTACATGCATCGGCGATGGTGCCCCTCTAGATGTTGGCCGAAGGCTTGAATAGATCAAAGCACAAACAGAGTAAGGGCGGCGCGCCCTCACGATCTCTCTCCGGACTCGCACACGTGGCCCTTAAGCAGCATTGCCCCTGTTTGGCACTGCCCCCGGTATTGTGCTTGTCCACTTTGGACAAGACGTCGCCATTTTCTTGCACGCCCTCATCTTCGCTGCTCATCAATCTTTCTCCCGGCGGCCGTCGCCTTCATCCGAGCATCCCCCTCCTTCTTTCCCCTTTTCCGCAGCAAGGAGCCCGTCCCGTCCCCCGCGAGATACGTCAAGCCCGAACCGACGGTCGTGCCACCGGTGAGCCAGCTGTGAAGGGAAGCGTGTGTAACAAAGACTTTAGTTCGGGCGACAAAAAGCTCATTCGGGCACATTCACGATCAGTGACCGCCACCCTGGGTACAACAGGCGTCGCCACATGCCATGAACATGAGTGCGCTACACGCAGACAACAAATCGATGCCTCTCAGCGTCAGACACTTTGTTGCTTCGAGCTTGACCAAAGCACCGCAATTTCCCGCCAGATGGGCCGCCCTAGTCTCGCCCCGACCTACCAGAGCGGCTCGAACACCTCGTCCACCGCGGCCGGGATCGCGTCGCCCCACAAAGCGCGACAGAGCGCAAAAGTGAGGACGATAAACTGCAATGTCGTATTGATTTTACTCAGCAGGTTCGGCGTAATTTGAAATGTTGCCGAAGAGGCGGTGTC